AGTAAATAACAAGATAAAAGGAGATGATAACAATATGATGGAGAAGGCAACTAGGTATTAAATTTGTGGATGCTATTTATTGCAACTCACAAGTATATATTAATTGTTTGAGAAACTTGAACAAGTTCAAAATACTTCAAATGAGTTATTCTATTCTTCAAGCTGCTAAGCCAAGAAAATGAAGCTATTGGGGAGAGACTTGAGAGTTGAGAGAGAGATTTGAAGGTAGTTATTATGGCAAATTTGATAAAAAAGAGGTATAACTTATAAGTGTGAGAGATTAGTGGAATTTGATTTTGGAGAGAGAAAATGAATTCAAGTAAAAAAAAAAAAAATGAAAAAAGTTGGGAGGGTTTGCTTGGCTTGCACTATTAGCAGGCATCAAGTTTATTTATGTCAGAAAAGTGTGTGTTAATGTGTCAGAGAGTGGGGATTGCCCAAACCAAACAATGTCTCGTGTGTTTAAAAGATTACTTTCTTGGTTTAATTAATCTACGTGGCAATCAAGGGCAAAGCAAGGTGATTAGATATGATTTTGTTTATGTTATACTACTAGGATTTATATTTTTATTCTTATAAAGTTAATTAATTATAATAATTAACTCTATCATTTTGTAACTTAACGCATAATTAATGGGTGTTGTTGGACTATGTAATGATTAGTGAAGAAAGTGTTTGCACTTTGGAGGAAGCTTAATTATTGGAATTTGAAGAAGAAATGATCTGTTGTAAGAGAATATATAATTAGTTAAGAATTAATTAATTAGAACTAGTTTGTGATTGGTCCGCCTGGGGATTGAAGCTAATAATATGGTGGGAAAGTTTCTTTCTGTTAGAAAAGATAATAATAATAATAATAATAATAATAATAATAATAATAATGTAATTATGTGAATGTATTTCACTATAAGCTAGAAAAAATTGAAATTAATCTAACCTGACCTCATTTTTAAATAAACCTGAATTCATCTAGCCTGCCTCATTGTTTAAATTAATCACTAATAAATGTATGTACTTCACTGTAAGTTAGAAAAAATGGAAATTAACACTTCATTTTTTAATAAATTGGAATTGATCTAACCTGACCTCATTGTTTAAATAGGCAAAGGTATATATTTCTCTGAGCTTCTTCTCACATGTTTAAGAGCTCATGTGGTCCTTACTCTTGCTTCGTTATTATTTTTAAATACCCTTAGATGAAATAATGAATTTCATGGGGTCCTTGATCTTGCTTGGTTATTTTTTTAAATACCCTTAGATAAAAAAAGTTACAATTTTATGACCTTAATAAGCTCTAAAATGTTAAGTATAAATCTTCACCCCGACTATTTTATATTATGTTCGATATACTTTGTTTTAAAAGGAAATATATATGTTTTTTTTAATAATAATAATAATAACTAGTACAATACCCGTGTAAATACACAAGTGTTGAATTAAGAAGCATAAGTAAAAAATATTAGTTGTTTAAACTAAAATAAAAAAATTATATATAAAATATTATTTTGGGTTTTAATTAAATTGTTGAATTATACTTTTTTAATCATAATAATTAAACATCCGTATATTAAATGAAAATGTCAACTCATATTGAATTTTTTTACTTATATCTTATAAAATTATCGATATTATTTACTATTATTAAGTAAAAAAATATATATCTTAAATAAATAGAAATAAATGGTGATATGTATATGCATAAGTGCAGAAATATGTTTGTTTAATATTAAGTAAAATAGATTAATTTTTTACTTAATTAGATTCCAAATACATCAAGTGTAGTATTCGTAGTGATTCACAGTTTTCTAACTTTATATGTAATTTTAGAATTTAGATAAATAATTATTTATTTTTATTAGAAGAAGAAACATTTATAATAACCAATGAATAAATTAAATAAGAAAATGAAATATAATGTATGGTATAAAATAATTTATGGTAACTAATTGTAGAAGTAAAGAAGGAAAAAATCAATCATGGATTTAGTGTGATAAAAATTATTAATTTATATCCAAGCCTAAATTCAAAGCATGGTTTTTTGCCAATTTCGAAGCGTGAGAATTTGCTATGTAGGCTCAACTTATTTTGAAATTATATATAGAGGGGATTTATCAAATTATAATATTGATAGAGTTGTTAGAACGTAGTCTCACATGAGAAGTAAAATTGTAGTTATGTAGCATATATAGAGATTAGACGGACATACTTCTTAAAAAATGTATATAATTTCAAATAGGGATGAGCAACAGTGTGGTTTGGTGAAAAATCGCACTAAACTGTAATAAAATTGAAAAATCGAACTTATTCAAAAAAACAACCGAACCGCACCACAATTTAGAAAAAACCAGACTAATGTTTTATTTTACATTGAAATAACCGAACCAAAAAACTTATAAAAAACTATAATGGCACCACATCGCAATATAAGAAAAAAATAAAACGAAACTAAACCAAAAATTTTTTACATTAAAAAAAATCAAATCGTACCGCAATAAATTGCATGATTCAGCTCGGCTTTTCAATTACGACTAATGGTCAACTCTAATTTCAAATATCACAAGTTTAAAAACAATACAGATAAAAGTATGATACTAATTAATAATATAAGTATCTATGTTCTTTAAGAAACTTTGATTGTCCTATAAGCATTTGTATGATACTAATAGTATAAGTATCTATATTCTTTAAGAAACTTTGATTGTCCTAGAAGCATTTGTGTTTAGTATAGGAAGTGTATCTAACGAGACTATCACTACAAAAAAATTGTCATATTTTAATAGAAAATGCAACGATAATATATTTCAATGAAAATTTCAACAGATATTCCAATAATATAGCTTCCGCCTGAATGATTAAAAAAATTTCAACGTGAGTATTCTATTGTAGCGCGTTTTCATTGAAATTTCAGTTAGAACTTATGATTCCAGTCAATAACGGTTTATAACCTTATGAATATATGTTGGAATATGCAATTTTATTTAAAAATTTCTATTTTCATTCATATATAAACCGTTGGAATCGTCGAAATCTAACAGAAATTCCAATAAAAAACTTATTTTAATAGAATATATTTGTTGAAATTTTCGTTGGAATTCATTGATAAATTCAAATGAAAATAATTAATAGTATTGAAATATTAATTGAATTTCCGTACGAATTACATTGTAATATATTTCCATTAAAATTTCACTTTTTTTTTTTTTATTGTATACATATTAGTTATAAACTATATTCATTACTATAGGGCTCATTTGACAATTAACCTTGTGTGTAACTTGTTGATAAACGGATTTAATC